TAATACAGCAGATTGTTTTAACAGATAAGTCTTAAGTATTATTTCAATAACTTGCTTTTATATAATCAGAAATGCAGATATAAGAAAAATATTAAATGTGCAAAATGCTCTGTTTATATGTCCATTAAAAATATAATGTAATAATAGCTTTAGATTTGTGTAAAAAGCCATTGGGGGGAAAAGTCTTCAATGTCAGAAAATCTGGTCAGATTAGAGCTTTCACTTGAGGAATTGTAAACAAACTTTTAAAATGCTGAGAGTTTTCTCAGTTCTTCCCAACCAAGACACTGTCGAACACATCAAGTCCTGCTTTGAAGTAAACCTGAGCTGAATTAATGCTGTGCAACACCTCTGACAGGGCTTCTTGAAGAGTCTCATTTGATGCAAGTGTCTTGCAGTGCTCCCAAGCTTCCAAGAGTATTGAAAACTGGCTTGTCTTCTTATCAAGGTGGTACAGGATGTTTCTAAAAAGAAATATAAAATGTATCAAACATTGTAATAAATATTTCCAGTGATGTTTGCAATAGATGAAGTTATAAAATTATATCATTTTCCAGCCTCCAATGAATTAATGGATATAGACATCAATTATCAAAAGTGATGAGATAGAGAATAAGACATTATGCGCCTTCTGATGGAAGGACACCATACTATCTATGAAATAAAGTGTTTTGTTAAAAAAATTAAATCTAAATCTTATGAAACTTCTAAATCTAATTGCTAATAAATACAAGGGACAGAGAATTATGTTAAATGATACTACAGTGTGTCATCAACAAATTACAGACTGGGAAATTCTATAACATAAACGATCCATTTGGTTCAACAAATAATTTACAATAAAAAAAAGGTGAAGAAAGAACCTCTAGACCATGGTTTCTGAACCTTGTACTATTGACATTAGGGGCTGGATAATTCTTTATTGTGGCAGCTGTCCCATGCATTGTAGGATGTTTAGCAGTATCCCTGGCTTCTATCCGCTAAGTACCAGTACCTCCTTTAGTTGTCTCAGTCAGTTCGGGCTACTATAACAAAATGTCACAGACTCAGTGGCTTAAATAACAATTGATTTCTTATAGTTCTGAATGTTAGAAGTTCGAGATTCAGGTGCCAGCATAGTCTTGACCACCAGAATTCTTGGTGAGAGTCCTCTTCTTGGTTATGGTCTCACATGGCCTTCCTTGGTGCATGAACACAAAGAAAGAGATCCCGTGTCTCCTCTTTTTATAAGGGCATTAGCCTCATCGTGAGAGCCCCACACACATGACCTCATCTAATTTAATTACCTCTCAAAGGCTTCATCTCTAAATACTATAACAGTGAGGTTAGGGTTTTAACATATGTATTTTGGGAGGACACAAACTTTTACTTGATTGCAGTTATAAAACCATAAATGTCACCAGATTGCCAAAATTGTTGCTTATAGGGAAAAACTGCCCCAATTGGAACTACTGCTTTAGACTAAAAGAAACATATCGACCAGTCACAAGTATGGGTTTTACTAGGTCTTTATTCAAACATACAGTTTAAAAAATGAGAAGTACAAAATTGAATACTAGTTGAAGGTTTGTTAATATTAAGGAATTTTGAATTTTAGATGTGAAGATATAAGTATGTCTTCAAAAAGTATCCTTATCTTCTAAAAATACATATAGTAATATTTGTACATGAAAGGTTATCATGTCTGGAATTTGCTTCAAACTATTTGGGAGGAAAAGGAAAACGGAGCTGTGGACAGTGTAGGTGGAATAAGACTGACCATTAACTAATAATTGTTGAATCTGACTAATGGAATTCATCATACTATTCTCTGTTCTTTTGAATATATTTGATATTTAGAATATTATCTTGTCATAAGTATGGAGTGTGTAAAAATATGGTGCCCTGAAATTTATCCAACTTTCTAAGAATAAAGATTTTGGCATTGGGCAAGTCTAACAAGGTTATTTTTATTCATTGATATATAAAAAAAAGTTCATTTTGGCAGAAAGACATGGATTATTTCTTCATTTGACCTACTGTCAATCCTAACTAGCTGAGGTAGCTGAGATTCCATGGCCTAATAAATAATAAATAAATGTAAATAATTTAAATACAGTTGTCTGTCATATTAGAAATGTAAGATCCAGTGATAACAGATAAAGGATTTACCAGTGGGAAAGGTCAGAAAACAGTCCATAATAGAGAATATTTGAATTTCATCTTGAAAAATGATAGAGATCACTAGTTACAAAGGTTTTAGGAAACAAACAAACAAACAAACAAGAAAGTACAGATAGCATGCCATGTTGGAAGAATAGCATATGAGACTACAAGAATTTGTAAAACAATTTGGTGTTCTCAGTGGATCAACACCAGTGTTTCTGTATGACCAAGGTACAAGACAAGAATGGGTAGCTATAAGAGGAGACCTAGGAGAGCAAGTCATGGCCACATCATACAGAGCCTTTCATATCAAGCTAAGAATATTAGACTTTTTTTTATAGACAATAGGAAGCCAGTGAAAGATCTTAAACAAGAGAGCAAGATTTTTAGATTTCATTTTGGAATAATTGCTTTAGTTGTAATATAAAGCCTAGAGAATGACTTAATCCAGATGAAAGGTCAAAACGTTGTGTTACACAGTAGTAGTTAAGTTTGAGAAGATGAAGCAAGAGCCACAGTATAAGATTTCATTAATTTATACTTTCTCTAACATTAACCTCAGTTTTATATGGAGTTCTAGATCATCTTTTTTTCTATCTCATCAAGGCTCCTCTACCTTGGCCTCTCCTGAGCTTTCTACTTTGACCTCTGGTAGTGAATTGACACTGAAATCTATCTAATCATTTATGCCATGACCCTGTAAAGCATCTCCTTCCTTACATATCCAGCTGGTTTCTGATGAGATTCTCCATGTTTTCAGTATCCTTTCTTCTCTGTTGCGGCACCCTGATTCCTATATTTTCAAGAATATGATATGATATCTTTGCTTTATAAGGCAGGGTTGAGAAACATGTTACTTTTATTTTTATCAAGACTAACTGCGTTATAAATAGAGAAGGTTTTCAATCACGGTGATTTAATTTACTTAAATTTTATCAGACCTAGTTCAGTGATGAGAACTTAGTAGACCCTTGATAAAGTTGGTGTCAGTTACATAATTTCAGGTTATTTTGCATTTTAAGCAATAACTAATTTAAGAACAACAGATGTTGTGTCTTAAAAAAATTCAGCTGACAATGAATACATGGTGGGTGTCTGTGAGGCAGAAGATCCTTGAACTCAGAGGTTATTTTAGTTTATTTTTCCAAAACAGATCATTTTAAATGGGAGCTGTCAGTAATGATTCAATATCATTGATCTTTGTGCCTATGAGTAAATTTGGCATTGCATGAATTAAATACAGCAGTGTAAGAAAGATGTTCCCTAGATTCCAAACATTCTTGAATTCAGGTATAAGAAACATATATTCCCTTGGATATGGGAGAGGAAAAATATCCTTCAAATGAAGTGGCAAGTGGATCATAATCAATGCTCTGTGTCCATGAGCTGTACTCTGAGAAATATTTCAATCTACTTCCAAAAATAGAACACTCTTTAAAGTAGAGATTTTCCTTCTGCTATTCCCACAATATTCATAAAATTTAAGAGATTTTTAGAAACAATCGAAGCATGCTAACATAATCATATAAGCAATTCTATATCCAAGTACAATATATATGTGTACATATGTTTTATGTGTTAAAGTTGCTTTGATTATATCAAAATGACTTAAAATAGAATTAGCAAAATATCTAATAAAAGTTTTTCTAATTATTAGTTTTATTAGTTTTATATCATGAAGGGGGGGGGGTGGAGAGACCAAATAATATAGCAAAAGTTTGATACAGCATAGGATTTTCCCAAATGGAGACAAAGCTACCTCAGATAGTCTCATATATTCTCTTATATGATTACCTACACAAAAGTTACTTTTCTCATGTTAAAATAATCTTTCTTAGTTGCTACTGAAAAAAAAGAAGTGTGTTTTTAGCTTCACCATACTTATCAAATATGTTTAAATTCACAATGAACCATTTAAACAAATATATAATCATGAAAAATAGTTTATAATTAAGGCATTTTAAAGATAAAAAGTTTAAAATATATGTTTAATTATTTGATTTTTAAAAAAGTACTGCTTTATAGTCATAATGATTTACCAATAAGAATAACTAAATTAGTATAATAACTATATTTAATCATCTTTAATAACATTTATAATTTTGAATTCTCTCCCTCCACTTTATCTGTTTCATGTTTAATTAATTATAAATCATTTTGTGAAAAATATATTTCCAAAATTTATTTTAAGAATGCAATAGAAATTTTCAAAAGCTGTACTAAATATTTCCATTCATTGAGGGCATATTGTTCAGCATGCTGACAAACAAAAATATTATAAGCTTCGTTATCCAGATCTGCCCCTTAATTATTTGTACTAGTGAAATTAATGTATTATTCAGAGCATAATAATTTTCAGGCTGTTACAGTGACTTTTCTACATTTTCGAAACCCACTGGCATAAAATACATTGCTACCTAACATTCTATGGTTATTAAATGTTAAATGTTATTAATATTATTAATATTCTATTTAATGATAAGATGATATTAATAAAACATGCTCATAAAGGTTACAGTATTAATCCCTCAATGCCAATTCTTTGAAGCATGAGCACAGTCTCTAATATATGTATGTAAAATTTCAACCATAACTACTATAAAATATCTATAAGAGAGAAAATGTGGAAGAATAAAAGTACATACTAAAAAGAATGTTTAGGTTTAAAGCACACAAAATATGATTACTGTGTGTGTGTATGTGTGCGCATGAGTGCATGTTTAACTGCAAAGCAATACATATTTTTCTTAAAGACCAATGCAATAGAGTCTGTAGTGTGCCAACATTTGTTTTTTCTAACTACTAAGCAACACAGTAACATATTTTTTAAATGATTGTAAACAAACTATGTGAATAGAAATGGATCCTTTTTTGGATTTTCAAATTCTACAAGGAGCTAAACACATTTTCCATATGCTACATGATTCAAGTAGTAGGCTGTGGCAAGCTCTTATGTAAGATAAACACTCATATCTATTTCTATCCAAATGGGATACAAATCAGCAAAAAACTACAGATACTGAGATTCTAGTTGAAAATAAGCAACTAGGATTTTTCAACATAATTTAAGAGAAAAACTTCAGTTTGGATAGCTACTGATACAACTTGTTAGTTGATCTTTATTATAATAGAAGTTTTTCACCTTGATAGTGTTTTACCTTACAACAAATTGAGGATAACAAAAATATCTCCTTTAAATTTTCATGAGAAAGATAATTTCTCCTACTGATTTTCAGAAGTAGCTCATTTTTTCCTATTTCTCTTTTGTGTACAAAAAGCCATTTAGCTTTCTGCTTACATAAAATAAATTTCTGTTTGG